CTATGGACTCAGGCGACAATACCTCTGGCTGCCACATTCGCATGCCAAATATCGGATATCCCCAGCAAATGGATCAGCCCCATCGGCAACATCTGCACTTTGCTGATGTTGCCGATGAGTCCACGGTTAAATGTAGGTACCGGCTATCTCCTATTCCAGGATCCACATGCTCTTCAGCAAGGCAACAAGATACAACGGCCGTTGGCACTGCTACCACTATACCTTACCGAGTCGAAACCAAGAGGGTCTACATCTGCACCTATGACGACTGCAACAAGAAGTACACACGCATGCCGGACCTACGACGCCATTACCGAGGATCCCACCTGGAGGACCGTCGATTCAACTGCAGAGCTCTGGGCTGCGAACGCGCGATACGTGGTTTTCCGCGCAGAGACAAGAGAGATGTACATGAGAAGAAGATGCACATCGACATTGGGAATGGCATGTTATTGTGAAGGAAGTGTTAGGAGTGACGCGCCCAAGAAAAACCTCATTGCAGCGGAAAACGATTCCGCTGTAAGAGCTGCGAACACTTGCGTCATATGTCGCACAGTCTGGGGCGCCACGTGGGAGATAAGCACGAGGAGGTTTCGGGTTACGGCGCAGTCTTGCCATGTCTTGTTTACTACGTGGCGTTCATGCTGTCTAAGCGATCCTGCACCGCTCAAATCGAAAGCATCATCTACTCTTAGCGAGCCAATACATGCTAATCAGCTGGCTAACTTACCTGATTCCTGTCTGCGCGCTTCTCCTTCCGGACGTGTGATCACCCGTTCGGTCTTCCTGCGTACGACCCATGTCCGACTCCCGGCGCATCGGTGATTCACATGACTCGACCTACCTCTGCCTCCGACTGATACCAGCGGATCATCATTTTAGATTCGCAGTCTGCCTCGCATTGATTGAGATCAGCTCGCGAACTACACTGATCGTGACTATTGGCAGTAGTCGCGAAATTAGCTTTCGGCAATGCGAACTTCCCCGGCGGTACTGCGGACACACCCTCATGGCCGCAGTCAGGCGGATACGGGCCGCCACGACACCATACTGATTGGGGAAATTCTTACAGCTTTACTTGCCCCGACGGAGTAACCCTTGCTGAAGAGCACATGGTTCAGGGATGCAGGGCAAAACTTTCGTGGCACAGTCCAGGTGTGCTCTGTTTGCGCGTACTCCTTATGCTGACCGCTGTGTTACCTTGCTCTCTTGCTCTGTCAAGTCTCACCTACCTTTCTGCATTCATCCTTCTTGACCACGTCCGCGGAACCGAATTACCAACTCTCGCGAAAAGAAATCATGTCGAGAATTGCTTGTGCCTGGGCGGAGTTAGGCGAGGATGCTAACGACGCCTATCACTGGTACGAAACCACGCATATACCCGACGCCCTGGTGAAGATCAGGTCCACCGCCAGACATGCAGAGCAAGTGGAAGACAGCCCATTCCAGGAAGTACCTGGGATTGATGGCAGGTTCATGACCATTTACGACCTACCAAAACAACCAAGCGCGCAAGACCTGGATGCGCGGATATGCCCTGCGCTGGACAAACTTCCGAATGAGGCGAAGGTAGACACACGGTTCTACACAGAGCATAAGAACTGGTTTGGGGAGGAGTGGCGCGGAGGTATGTCATCCTCAAGATCACGATACAAGGATGCACCATGGAAGCTAACACCCTGCGTCAGATCCCCGCGATGTCCAAATGTGGGTCGTAGTCCTTTGGCAGCCCGCCCCGGAGGTTCACGACGAATTCGTAAAGTGGTTCGGAGAAGAGTTCACGCCCGGTATGCTCGAGAGTCCTGGACTGCTTCGCACGCGCATCTTCAAGCTCGAGCACGCTTCGCTCATCCAGGACGAGAAGTACAAACAAGTGGACAAGGCGTCAGTGTACCAGTACATGACGTTTTGGGAGTTCGATAGCGAGGAATTGCCATGGGAGATCTTGGTATACCTGGGGTCTTCAGAGAGGTGGAGACATTATGTGGAGGGCGGGCTTCTGGTACGTCGCGTGTCTCCAATCAAATAAGAGTGCTGATAGCTAACAAAGTCGTAGTCGTGGCAGGTCGGACAATTTCTGGTAAATAACATCTATCCCGACATCGAGGACGCGGACTCCCCGGCCGTCATGGGGGCGAAGATCATCGTAACCCCGGTCGCACAGGAGACGTGAACGTTGTCGACACCGAAACTGATGCTAAGTAGGAATATCAGGATTTGGACGACGACATCAGCCAACATAGCGGAAGTGATCTGTTGGACGGAGGAAATGAGGCAATACCCGTAATGAACAGCGGATATGATGATTTGATCGAGGACGTGGATTGATTGGATTGGCTAATATCTTGCCTTCGGTAAACGGCGTTTAATAATACCCCAATTGTTGTTTTCCATTCAAGGTTCCTCTTTCAGACACTTGTATTGACGGCCGGGCTGACCGTCATATGCCATTCCACGCTGCTGTATCCTTTCCGTATCATGTCGCCTTTCCGGGCGTATATGGTGGGGTACCAGGGGTGACATTTGATAGATACCGATCAGATGGTACACCGGCCTGAGCATGGGCTGGTCCAGATATACCTGAAGTGACTGGTTGTAGGGATTGTTCTGGAGGAAACCGTGGCATTGTTGCCAGCGTGTCGCCCTGTGTTGACAACACTGTCCTGGGAAGCCTGACGAGAGCCGGTGCTCGCGATCCTGTAAGAGTCTCATGTTCATCATGTTTCAGTACAGTGTGTCCGAGGTCTAATGCAGGTGGATTTCGAGACAGGCTGTATGCGTCCGTGTTTTGCTGTATTTTGCCTAGTGAAGGATCGCGTGCGAGCTGGGATGCGGACTCATGCACGTCTGGCGCAATGTGATCGTCTGCCCGACCCGCTCGCACCCGTCTCCGCGTTTCGACTTGAGAGATTGTTCCGAAGACTAAGTCGGACGACTCCTGTGGCGTCAGCCCGGGTTGCCTGAATGGGCTTCCAGGCGCCTCTGACACCCCAAATGCGTTCTGTTCTCCGTCGAGTGACTCATGTTCTTCCAATTTGGACGTATGTTTTTCGGGGTTGATGACAAGTTTGATGGTACTGTTCGCTGCGACTGTTCGAGATCTTCTTGAAGAAAGTATCGGTGCTGACTCCAGGGATGGTCTATTTGATCGATGCTCTGGGGTCGGCAGCGTGCCTGAGCAATAATGGTCTCGACGTCTTCGCACGCGATCTTCGGCTTGCGAAGTCGGCTCACCAAAGCGACCTGCTTCTTCTCGTCTGTGGATTTGTGAGCCTTCACGGGGATTGACATCGCGTGTCCTGCTGCGTGAGCCATTATGCGATTTGCAGAACATATGCTTCCCATTGTCCCCAAATCTGAGATGTCTGGGCACGTCCCACACTTCGTCTGAGTTTGCACTCAGAAGTCTGGCTCGTGACGGTGCAATCCCATTGCCTTCAACACAACTATCAGAGCCTTCAGCGGTTGCATCGTGAGCCTTGTCCACGAGCTTCTTGGCCTTCAGTCGCTCTTTGTCCGTAGAGTCTGGTATCCGAGGGGAGTTATGTTTCTCCGGCCTTGGGCTACGGCTCTTGGTGTAGCGCATAGTGCGTTGAATCCCAGCGAAACTCCGCCGCTCGTCGTCGTCGAGATCGACACCTTCCACATTCGTATATAGCCTGACTTTGCGTCCGCCGTTGCCTGTACGCTCGCCGCTGACTCGGTAAACGCATGTTCGTCCCTTTCTTCCACTTTGCTGTTTCTTGCGCGCGCAGACGTATCGTGGAGCCGAAGTTTCGGTGTGATGGCTTGTCGTGACCTGAGGTGAGAGCAAGGATTTGACCAGCCCTCTTAATCCGCAACTCGGAAGCACGACTATGACCATTGCGATAGGCTGTAAGCCAGAGGTAACGATAGGGTTGACGACACGCCGATCGCCGTGGTTGTGGTCTCGAAGGTGCACACATCGCGTGTCGCAGGTCCCGAGCAGGCGGTAGGGTCGCAGTTGCTTTGAAGCTCTTGGGTAGTGGTTGTCGAAAGGATCTGTATGAGTAACGTTGCCAAGTATGAGACGCGACTGCCGCTTCCAGCAAGTGAAGTCTTATTCGTAGGTTCCTGTATACCGATGTCATTTTCAGACGGTTATCCCTTACCCGCCCATGCATCTTGAGACTTTGATGTTGCTTCCATCGCAATGAGGATTCCTGACAGACTGCTAAAGCCGCGGTGCGACCGGAATGCAGGTGCATCGGCTTCATAGAGACCAAGGTGTCTGCTGTTAATGAAGCAACTGCGTGGGAAGACGCCATTGCAAGAACTGTCAATGATGATCAAGTGTAGTCCGTGCTACGCGCGGAATTGCCAGCGCCTCACCATACCCAGAGCTGCAATCCGGACTCCGGAGCGCATTAACGGCAGTTTGGAGATGTGTAGATGGCATGCTGGTGGTGTCTGTGGTGAGGTTGGGGGTGAACAGAAGGGTGGTTTACGTCATCGAAGTCGCGAACCCCTGATAGGCCCCACTCACCAGATGACTAAGTCAGTCTTAGCCTAATCCGGATGGCATGCTCTCCTTCCTTGAGAACACTGTCAGCCGCCAACACTTTTCGTCGTCGGACGCGACTACGACTTCAAGTACTCCGAGCAGATACTTACTTTGCTACCACGGATCTTGGCGATCAACTCCTCATTTTTGAGACACCTCAACATCTTCTAAAGTTCCGTGAAGAACGCGTGTCGCAACACCTGTGGACCAGGCCAATCATCGCGCCGACCGTTGTATCGCGTCTTAGGCACCATTGAACACAGCCTTCATCGCTGATATAACGTCAAAGATGGATCAAGCTGAATAGAGGCTGTATTGCTATATAACGACGCAATACGAGCCGATTGCGACCATCGCCTTCAAGCTCTTGCATTGTAAGCCAGTAGGTTTGGTGCGCCTGCTACATCTGTAAGGCGATTTGGCTAAGTTTAGGTTTGCGAAGTCAGTGTAGGTCTCACATGCAGTCGGTGTGGAATCACTTACAGTAGCCAATGCCAAAACTCTTGCCCTCGCGGCCGGGCCGATCGATTGCCCTTCGAGACCGCGCAGATAAGATACCAGACCAGCCACGAAAGGTGCAGACGCCGAGGTACCACTCGCTGTCATGGTTGCCGTATTTGAGGTGTGCCAGGTAGATATGATATCACCACCTGGAGCCCAGATGTCTACGGCCGACCCGTAATTCGATGTCGAAGAACGAGCGTCGTTCGATTGAACGCTCCCTACGCACAGTGCGTTGGCAGCACGAGCTGGCGAGACATTTGCAGCCGGCTGGTTTTCGTTTCCTGCAGCGACGACAGGCAGTATACCTCGGTTCGCCAATGCGTTCACAGCGTTATCCATGGATGAGGAAGCCGGCCCACCGAGCGATAAGTTCACCACGGCTGAACCCAGTCGGCTCTTGGTAACGATATCGTTTGTCACCCAGTTCAAGCCGGCCAGCACACTGGAGCCAGCTGCGACGTTATCATCGCCTATTACCTTGACCGCAATGAGAGTCGTGTTCTTGGCAACGCCGTAGGTCTTCGAACCAATTACACCAGCTACGTGGGTGCCATGACCGGTGACATCGGCATTGTTGGTGTTGGCTGCGTTGTATCCCCAGGAAGCGCGGCCTTCGAACTCGACATGGGTCGTTCGGATTCCACTGTCTAGTACATACGAGTAGGTGCCGCTGCCAGCTGTCGAATCGTATACATAGCTGGTAGCTCCTCTGGTCCTGGAGGATACGCTTGCAAGACCCCATGGTGCGCTGGTCTCTACTCAGTGTTAGCGACACACACCTCATACAAGAAAACAACCCCGAACAGGTCTGCAAACGACAAAGTGGGTGACGTAACGTCGATGCGGGCTCCAGGATGTTTATACGTACGCGTTATGAAAGCCGTAGGATACATCAAGAAGTCTTTTTCGACGAGGAACACATCATCTAATGCCTCCAATTCGGCAACAACGACTGGATCGAAGGCCCCGGCATAGCCTTTGAAGTCTCCAAAGTTGTACTCCTGATCGATCCCTGCGTTCAGGTCGATGTCGTCTCTTCGTCCGAGATGGCGAGCTACTATACTGCGGACCTTCTCACGATGAGCGGTAAATGTCGCGACGTCCACGTCCGGCTTCAGCTGTACGATGTATCGGCCCGCGATCGAATCCTTGGTTGAGCGAGTTGCAAGAGGTGCCGCATGAGCAAGGAACGATGCGGCAGCTACGGCAAGAGAAAGAGCACGGATAAAGAATCGCATCTTAAAAGACAAGAAGAGGGGCAGTAATGCCTGGAAGATGAGATCGATGGAGATGGCCTAAGATTTATCGCAACGCTTCCGCATACTTATAGCGACCCAGGATACCAAGCTCGACTTGCTCTATCGCACACCCTCAATCCAGGCTACTACCGGCGGAAGAATCGAAAGCCCATATACCCCCCAAACATATCCAATGACGGCTTCGTGAGAAGCAAAATGCCTGGCCCCCAGGCGCTTGCGGATGTCGCCCGGCTGACGTGCGCAGATACTATGCTCGTGTGTACTCCACATAGTCCACTGAGAACTGACCCATCTGCCCGCTCCTGCCTCTTCTTCGCGCGATCCGATAGTTCATGCAGATGTCCTGCGATGCAATACAGGGGCCGAATGCCCTGCGCTGCACGTGCGTGGCGAGGCAGACTGGACTTGATCTGTTCTACGGTCTTGAGAACTTCAGATCTTCGTTAATGCGTCTGAACCAATCCGCGATGTAAGAGTACATTGATATCAATAGCAACAATGTGCATTGTCGTTGACTGACACGATAAGAGAGCCGCTTCAAAGGGTTCGTGATCATGTTCCCGCCCGCAGTGGGGCAATGTCTCAACTGCGCCGCAGTCCATCACCGACTAGACTCAATCCCCGGAACTACTGTGCCTCATACACATTTTGCTGCATGCACTCCGAGACCGGGAAAGCTCAAGTAGACTGGTGATACGACGTGGCGAAATGCTGCCGCTGCGTCCACCTCTACCCGCCGGGTACCTCACTAATCACGGCTGCTTTTCGGAGAAGAGGCATTACTCATTGCATTATCATATATACCGGCTATTAAAACGACCAAACTATCCAGTCAAGTCAAACTTGCTCGAACACGACTCGCGTAGCCACTTTGGCCAAGCAACTCTCTTCCAGCAATCTATTCCTCCGGATCGCGACCTCCACGCTTCTTCATTTCCTCAAGGTATTCCTCCTCGGTCTCGAGATCAAATGGCAAAGGCCTGGTGATGGGATGAATCGAAGCACCGTGGTCTTCGAGTTGCTTGAGACGCTTCATCGTGGCGGGTTTGGTGCGATTGACGCTGTAAAGCTTGACGCGGCTACAGTAACGTTAGCCTCCTGCTATCGGGCACACGAGATCACTCAAACGAGAGATACTTACTGGCATGAGGATGTCACGTGGAGATCCCAGTTCCATGCACTTCGCACAAAGGTCGGTTGCGTCTGCGAATAAAGTCAGCAAATGCCGTCTGGTAGTTACAGCGAGACTTTGCCACGCCACATTGAGACAACCACCGCGTAAGATGTGCGGGGCCTTCGCAACGGAAGTCGAACTTTGCTTACATTCAAAGCGTCATCCCAGCAACGCACGCAGAATTCACTGAGCAACGTTAGCATTTGTCGGAGAACTACCGACGACAATAGACTTACAGCCATCCCTCAGCATCGACTGGAATATCGACCCACCACGTGCGCCAGGCATGGTAGTATTTCTTGCTCAAGTTCTCGTATGGAACCTCATACCAAACACCGCCACCATCGTTGCTGACTTCGACTCGTTCCGGCCAGCCACTTCCACTGTATGCCCAGCCAGTCATGCGGATCTTCCCGTCGTGCACAATAACGTCTTTGTCGACAGGCGTCATGATAGCACTCGCAACAGGCATCGTCTGGATACTGAAACCGTTGCTGTATGTGACGTTTTGCTTGCCGTTCTGCGGAGTATAGTAGAGATATTCCTTCATTTGAACGGGAGCCAGAGACGGCTGGTCGATGACGTTAATGCGAGTGAGCCATTTGCAGCTTCTGGCGCCGATGTAGCCCATTACGACAGTACGGAGTGGGAAGCCATGGATGGCTGGTAGTGGCTCTCCGTTCATCTCCCACGCCAGCATGACCTCGTTGATCTTCACCTTGCGAGTCGGTACTGATACAGCGTAGTTGTATACGTGACCCTTCTTGAAGTAGGTGTCGGCGCCGAAGAACTCGACGTGCTTTCCTTCCGGCTTCAGCCCGCAGTACTTGAGCACCTTCTTGAGACTGACGCCCACGTAACGGGCCGTACCGATGGCGCCTTCTCCCCACGGCGCATTGATGAGTTCGTCTCCGTCTCCAGGGTAGTCGTGAATCTGCTCAATACGGCGCGTACCACTACACTGAAGAGTAACGCAGGTCTCCATGCGTGGGAAGATGCTCTCGTCCTGTAGCTCCTTCAACGTGATCTTCTTTGGCTTGTCGACAAGACCCTCGACTTCGAAGAAGTATTTCTCCGGATCGATCTCAGGAATGCCACCGTGGTTTCTCACAAAGTGGTCTTTGTTGTTGGTTATCTCGGTTTCGACAAGGCGCTTGCGCTCCGGCTCTCCGTTGTAAGGGAATTGCAGTACATGGACCATGTCCTCGCTCTTTTCTTTCTTAACGTGTTCCCAGGAGTCGGCCGGCATGTCCTTCAGCGTCTTGCCCATCGCGTAGTGGTAGTATTTCCATCGTACACCCTCGAGCACCGGGTTGGTATCGGGCAGCGGTTTCAGCTGGAATTCGGGAGGTACAGGGAAGTCATATTTCGCCAGGATTTCCGCCGCCTGCTTCTTCTTTTCTGGGTATCTCTCCCACTCGATGTATCCTTTCCATCCTTCTCGCTCTTCTGGGAAATTCGGCTCTTCGGCTGTCAAAAGCTCGAAAGGCTTTGCGTTGGGTTCAGCAGGCGCCATGGTCGGAGTGTGGAGTTGGAGAAGTTTGATCTAGCATGAGGCTGGGGATGCATCCCCCTACAAATGCGCGCGACTGTCGCATTGTGGAGTGGACGCGCCAGCCCATGTGCGTTATGTCATGACCTCAAGGTGACTGATACTTAATCATGGGCTACACTGATCTGCCATAACGTGCACTGCAGGCAACCCCTGTACATCGTCGTGCCAGCACGTGGTCTACCTGGATCCACGAATGAAAATGCCGCAAGCTCCGCAAAAGCGTTAGGAAAAGATACACCACTGCGTCATCATGATGAACGTTGAAGAGCTGCCACACATCCTGGGACCGTACGATGCGCCTAGAACCAATAATCGTTAAGCCCGAAATCCGAGAATGGGCAGGGCAAATGCCGGAGAAAAGATGGAAACGGTGCGACCCGCATGCGATTGATGAGTAAGAATGCTAAAGTCTTGAGAATGCTTCTTATTAGTAGTCATTGCTTACAGGCGCGCTTGGCGTAGTGATCGTGAACCAAACCAGTTCTAGTCGGTGATGCGGAGCTGATTACATGCAGGCCGCATACGAGAAGTTCGAAGAGGCTCGCTTGTATCGCCGACGATTTTCGGGAAGGCCAGCGGGAATTTTCATCCCAGGGGTCAGGTCAGGCATACTGCAGACAAAACCGGAAAGCAGCGCGATGACTATCGTTGTTGCAGAGCAAGGGATGGCCAGAGTTGGCATGCACGCATGGAAATGCGCGGCAGTTGCTTCACAGGTTCTGCACGTGTCGCCTCGGCAAGTTGCATGGCGTGCTAACCCGAAAGGGCTTGGCCAGCTTCTGCCCGCCGTCATGTCACCGCAGGACACCACGATCTCAGCCTCCAGACATCCGTCAGTCTCCGCACGTCTGAATTCGATATGGCTAATCAACAAAGAAGCCGCAACGACATCTCTTGAAACCCCAGCGCAGATCACCCAGATATTACTCAGCTTTCGCAATGGCGGACGCGGAGCTAGTAGCGCAATGGAGTGCACCCCTATAGAATTGCTGCTACCTCAGCTGTAGGCATTACGCCGCTCATTCCAACCACGGAATAGGATTCCGACCCGTCAAACTATGTCAATGCGTCTCACAACATCAGTCAAAGCCAAGCACCTGCGTGCTAGAGGAGCAGATCATTTGCTAGTCATTCTCAGGCGCTCCATGTCCTTACTATCTAATCGAAGAAATCTCATCGAATAGCATCTCAGTTCGCGTCCCTTCCGAGGAAGGATCAAACGTCGAACGAACGCGATTCGATATGCCATCGGAAGATGAGGACTTTCCCCACGTGGCGGCGCCATCAAGGGCCGCCCTTACAATCACGGCCCGCGTCCTTCGGTTCCAGAGTCCAATATCATTGACTGGCCGACATGCGACCTCTAGGAAAGCGCGCGATATGGAGTAGCATCAAACACGTTCAGCTGGATGTCGAACGAAGACCATAGCCGGGGCTACGGGCTCGTATTGCTGGAACGTGTTCAGTCCCAACTGTACGAGCCAAAGCTATGAAACACGAGATCAAGGGATCGCCCAATACAGTGAAGGAGCCGTATCAGCTAAACTCCAGATGGAGATTCGTAACTCGCATCTGGCGAACGGAAGGACCATGTATGCATATCTCCGTGAGGACATCTTGACGGTCTGGCCAATCGCAATTTTTGATCTGGACTTCTACGCCGCATAAATGCAGATATGGTTCATACTGGGTAAAAGTACGGCGACATATGGCTTGGAGGATGGCAAGCGCGGTTTGCGTGGCTGCCCAGAGAGTCCATGGGAAGCACACCAACATGAATGGGGGAAGCCCAGTTCACCCAGCAATAGACTGCTACATCTCGGCTTGCTCAACACGTCTTCCAACGGTCATATTCATCGATCACCCTCAACCCTAGTCTTCGCCCCGCATCTTCGCCTCTCATTTTCACATTTTGTTGTCTATACCTTTAGAGCAACAATGGCCAATATGGTAGCCAATGCCCAGAACGCGCTGTTGCAGAAAGCTAGAGACTCTGCCTCTTTCGACACGTTTCAGCTGACGTGCATACTATGGGGAAGGTGAGTACAATCTGTGAGCCTATGTAACATCCTCGTTGACCCATCTGCAGTGAGAAAGTTGTCAAGGAGCGACGGGCCGCCTTCAACCGAGTTGAGAAAGCAATCGGCACCGACGACAATGCAAAGCTCCCTCGATGCTACGCGCAGACCTCACGCGAGGATCTATTCGAGCAAGGCCTTGGGATGGGGAAAGCGTGTCTTGATGATATGCTCGAACATGACCATGAGCACTTTGTGTGGATTACGCCGCGATACAATCTCATGAACGCCAGGTATGTTGAGGTAGTCAGGAGAATCTTCCACGACTGACGAACTGACTTCCAACAGCCCCTTCGGCCACAAAGCCATCCTCTTCGAGCCCGGGATGGAGCACAACGGTACTGAGGAACAAAAGGCAAAGTGGCTCCCGCTCGCTCGATCCGGCAAGATACTTGGTACGTACGCACAAACCGAGCTTGGTCATGGTTCTTTCGTGCGAGGTATCGAAACGACCGCCACCTTCGATCCCGATATGGATGAGTTCGTCGTTCACTCGCCAACAATCTCGTCGACAAAGTTCTGGCCTGCGGGGCTAGGCTTCTCGACCACACACGGCACAGTCATGGCGAGACTCATTGTTGGCGACGAGGATCATGGCCCACATATATTTCTTGTACAACTTCGATCAATCGAAGACGGCACACCAATGCCTGGTGTGAAGATGGGCGATGTTGGCTTGAAGCTTGGGTAAGTAACGAGATCGCAGAGAACGTCAGGACTTCAGTCGCTTACCAGGACCCAGCTACAACGAAGCTGACAATGGCTTCGCCTCTTTCGACAACGTTCGCATCTCTCGATCGCAGATGCTCATGGCTCACAGCCAGCTCACATCCGATGGCACATTCACCAAGGATCCCCTCCGCGCTAAGCTCTCGTACTCCGTCATGCTGCTCGTCCGCGGCAGGATGCCCAGTGTCTTTACGGTCCAGCTAGCCCAAGCTTTGACGATTGCGACACGATACTCTGTTGTACGACAACAAGGCCTCGGCCCTGCCGATGCGTTTGAGACCGAAGGAAGCATCCTGCACTACAAGCATCAGCACTTCCGTCTTTTGAGCTTGATTGCTAAGACGTACGCCATGTTCTTCGGCTCTCGGGTATGCGACGAACAGTATAACAAACTACGGGAGATGCAGAGCAAGAATGATCATTCTCTTCTGCCGGCTGTTCACGCACTGACGGCTGGGATGAAGGCATATGTAACTTCTGAGGCCGCTGATGGGGCCGAAGACGCACGTAAGCTGTGTGGTGGCCATGGCTACATGTCTATCTCAGGCCTACCAGACATTGTCGGTGCCTTAGTCGGTGGCGCGACGTTCGAAGGCGAGAACTATGTTCTGTGGCAACAACTCGGGCGACACCTCCTCAAGCAACTTGACCGCCTACAAGATGGCGAGCCAATCGAGCCCCACGTACAATACCTGACCGATATCGAAGACCCCAACATTCCATGCTGCGCATCCGCAACGCAGTTTCTCGACCCCAAAGTACAACTCGCCATCTATCGCGACCGTGCCCACCGCATGGTCGTGAAGGCGCATTCGGCAATTCGCGCATCAAGCAAGTTGCCAGCCGATGCGTGGAACGAGCACATGATGCTGCTCATCTCCGCCTCGCGGGCCCATATCGAGTACTTCATCCTGAAGTCATTCACCGACTTCATCTCAAGCCTGTCTGATTCTACGTGCAACTACCTACGCATCGTCTTGAACCGTATGCGCTCCCTCTACGCCCTGTCAACTATAATAAACCCACGTACCGTCGACGCAGTATCCTTTATCGAGACAGCTGACGAGCGTTCTCCTTACTTCACTTCGGGACAGCTCGACACCATCCGGCATCTTGTCAATGGCTTGCTCGATCAACTCCTTCCCGAGGCTGTCGCTCTGACAGACGCGTGGGACTTTTCCGATGCTAGTCTCTGCAGTGCGCTGGGTATGTACGACGGCAATGTATACGAGAACATCATGCGATGGGTTGAACAGTTGCCTATCAATCAGAAGGCGTGGCAGAATGCTGGGGTACAGCAGGGGTGGAAGAAGTGGGTTGATCCGATCCTGAGAAGGGAGGCGAAGTTGTAGAACAACGTAGTCTGGATGTGTGTTTCACATCGTCGTGATAGTATGGGTGTGATGGGGACGGTAGTATTGGATGCTATGTAGAGAACTGTTTTGTATTTGCAAGACAGCTACTGCAATACTTTTGCGTGCTCGTATATGGTACAATGCAATAATCCTAGCGAGCTTTGTACCAATGTAGACTGGTAGACCTTTACTCATATGTGACGCAATCTCATTGCTCTTCAGCACAAGCTGCTAGCTATGAGTGTGTCCCGATGCTTCACTTCAGCTTATAGCTGGGGATATCATTCAAATCTTTGTCTGAGAGCATTTGGCTCAACTGACTGATCCAACTCGGCGCATTCAGTGTTTCAACCTTGACTTCGAACACATCATGGCCCTTCACGTTGACCATAATTCTCTTTCCCTCTTTGACGAGTTCCTCCAGGACAGGGAAGATTGGCCGAAGCTTCCTCACAAAAGCTATTATTTGTTGCTCTCTCAGCGTCGACCAGGGCTTGTGTTCACATTGAAGATATAGAACGACGCGCGCATTTGCTCCTAGTGAGAGAAGTTTCCGGAGATTGGCGTTTAGATGACCAAGAATCTCGTCGACGCCGTGGATATAATCGAAGCCGACATAGATGTGCTTGACATGTTGGTATACATCAATGTCCAAGCCCCAAGTGTCATCGTGGAGGAAGTTCAAGGCTTCTGAAGCTCGTTCGGGGATGTCAGAGGCGCAGACTATGAAAGTCGATACCTTGTACCACATCTCGCCGATCTCTTTCATGGTATCAAGCGGAACGTATCCACGCGTGAAGAGATGATCGCAACTGATCTGCCGTAGGGGACAAAGCCAGTAAAGTTCATTTTTTTTGCGCTCGACGGTGTAAGTCTCTCGTGAGAGTAGATGGGCGTACACCATATCGCGGAGTTCCCGTGGTAGTTTGCTCTGCATCATCTTGGACAGTGTCATGCATTCTTGCTTTGCGTGGGTCGCTATGTACGTGTTGAGTTCGTCGTCGAGCTTCTCTGCTGCCTGACCGATGCGCCTTGATTCGGGGTCTTCGCTGGGGCGATCGCGGCGCCAGAGTGTGTATAGATGATACCTCTCTTTCATCGAGAGGCCCTGATTGGATGGGTACAGATGGGTTTTGGAAGTCGCTCGTTGCTCGTCTGCTTCGCGGCGTTGGAGTAGAGTGGAAACGTGGCGCGTCAGTGCCACTTTTCGCAAAGAGCCATTCAATCAATCAGTAGGATGCCTGGCAGCCGCGATCATGTTTACTTACCGGTGGACGAAATCCCTATCCATGGTCGAGCTTGACGGGCTGCGCCGCAAAGGTTCCAAAGGTGTCGCAATTTGGGTAGAGTCTCGGCACAACTGAGAAAATTAAGAGCGTGACACTAGCTCCCGTTTGTTATTCTTTCAATCTCTCCAGGCAGCAGCACTGGCACGTGATCGACCGGGTAGGCGCACTGCCCAGGTGAAGACTGACCACAACAAGCTAGCACCTCTGCTTGAACTACTCAGACCTTCAACCCACATACTCGCCGTGATTAATCTCCCTCATAGACCCTCTTCATGCCGATGAGCCTTGCATGTATCTCCTTCCAGCGCCACCGATCCAGTGCTTCTACTCTCGACTTCGCAACGAGAATGCGCCTAGGTCTAGTCGTCAACGTGTTGAAGAAGCTCACCAATCTGCATTTGGGAGCAGGAGATGAGCACTGCACACCATGGCATTTTTGTTGTTGGGAGACTACCGCGCTTCGTTATTCTTCAGATGTCTCTTCTACAGTACAACCGAGAGCTACTCGTTGTCTTTTGACGGGCGTGTTGTCAGAGCATATAACCCTTGTATGCAGCAACTCTCGTCTTTGCTCTCCAGTCACTAATGGACAACTATGGTGTATGCAGCTAATGACAATGAGATCTGAGCAACAGGTAATATCATGAAAGTAGATTGATCCTAAACGCCATCTCCTAGCCCGTACGAGGGCAATGGGTATCTATGCAGGCCGTTGGTACACAGAGTAAAGTACATTTAAAACCGTAAAAACGCCACCTCCCCCCTCATTCCTTGTGCACTACAGCCACAATACGCCACGGATGTCAGCGCTCGAAGACTGGTAAGGAAACAGCTCCGCGACATTCTCGGGAGCATCTTTCCCATCTAGGCAATCTTCCACCACACGCACAATGCCTTCAAAATCAGACAAGACGCGTTTCGCATACGGCTGACTGGAGGACAAGTCATGTAGCATGCCCTTAGCGCGGTGGAAGGCCTCGATGTGGGCCTCGGTGTGAGGATGCGTCCTTCCAGCAGAGTCGCGGACGAGAAGAGAGCAAAATACTAGAAGTGCATTCGACAGGGCCGATGTCATGCGATGCCTGAGACTGAAAGGCTGACGAGCTTGCCGCGTAAAGAAGGTCATTCTGGTGAGGGTATCGCAGGCAAGTTGGCTGAGGTGTTCAGCGTGATTGTCGTCGTATTGCAGGGAGATTATGACGGAACGTAGCCCCCAAAGAACGAAGTCTGTCTTCTTCTGTTTGATGAACATCGTCAGTGGTACATCCCCATCACCATCCCGCTGAGCGTATGATGGCATCCCCAGTACTGGTAAGTCGTGATCGAGGTAGTGGGAGATCTGCCGATCAATGATATCCTGGGTTGTGCTATCCAGACTGCGACCGTCGACAGCATTGCTGGCATAACGCGCCCAGAGTATGACATAGTGGATGTAGTGATCGATGAAAGGCCTGGGGTCATCATTATCCTCGGCTTTGTAGAGGTTTGCCTATAGAACGTGAGCGTGAGGTAGCAGGAGGAGGAGGACACGTTGATCTAGGAAGAAACTGAACACCCTGGAGGCGACATCGACGTCAAGACACCCACTTTGCATGTTCATCTTGATGTAGTCTCCAGACGTGTTCAGCGGGAGGAAGGATAGGAGTCGTGGACTTTACTTACCCTTTGTGAGAGGTCTACAGGTGCTTCGACTTGAATGTCGGTTTCGTGGATCCTGTATGGTCTTCCACACGTCAATGAGATAAATCGGTCTTGGACGAATATATTCCAGAAGGTGCAGATGCGCTCATATGCTTGAACCGTCGTGATGTTTGTCCACGTGGATTGCTGATGTAAGGAGGACTGGAAAGCGAGTGTTGCAGCGGCGCCGATGGTGTTGTAAGCTGGACCGGGCATGTCTGCGTATTGGTAGTAGAGGGCCTACAACTATCAGTCTATGCGCATCAAGTTCGGAGCTTTTAGGCACGTACCTGGAATAGAACGCACTGTATCAGCGTCAGATCGCCGCTTCCGCTTAGTAGCGACCTCTTGTCGACGAGCTCGTCAGCCATTTCAAGCCAGCGCCAGCCCTTAGGCTTGCCAGTGTCGATGGGTGCGACATTGAGGAGTACGTCGCAGCATGCGAAGATGGTGTAGTTCAGCGCGAGAAACTCGCTATCTTCTGATGGTATGGTCGTGCTTGCTAGCATGTGTTGGCTGCGGTTGCGGAACTCGGGTTCATCTATGCACGGATGAGACAGGTGAATGTCGGTGAAGAAGGAGGCTAGGTACTGTTGGTAATCGGCGGGGCTAGGAAAGGGTAGCTTCCTGTTGCCGACTTGAACGAGGTGCGATGGGTCGCCGTTGATGGGGGAGCCCGAGACTGGAGGGACGGGTATTGTTGGGTCTGCCGACTCTTGTGAGAAAAGCGAGGGTTGTCCCATGAAGGCGAGAGCTGGGTTGATGGGATCCAGCGGTGGGACAGACAAGGCGGCGTCACCCCTGAAGGCATCGCTACCATTCTCTTCGCGCTCGACACTGCCCATTGGCGTCATGGTTAGGCCTCGGTCGCGCATGAGAGCTTCCATCATAGCCTCGATCCTGGCCATGCGCGCTTCCATGGTCATGCCGCGTGTGCTGGCGTCGCTCGCCCTCCGCTCGGTGCCGTTGTCCGACGGCATCAAGCTCCTTCTCGGTACGTTGTGGCTGTTGCCGTTGGCGCTGGCATTTGAGGCTTGTGTATGGAGGGCAGGCGTGGGTCGACTGAGGTTCTGCAGGGCTTCGGCGGCCGTCTGGTCTTCAGAGAAGAAGCATCGCTTGCCGTTGTCCATGCACCGCTGGCATGGGTTTTCACCGGAACACTGCTGACGTCAGTTGTTGACTCTCATTGTTGTTGCTGGGATAGTTCGTAGATGCGGAAGCGACGCTGGCGCATGAGGAAGTCGCGATGCAGTCGCGAGGGAAGTGGTCGAGGCAGCCAATGTACAAGAGAGTGTACATACCTTGAGCTTGGATCGCCTGCATGATACACCTGCACAATCTGTCAGCCGGCTGATGGCATGTCCTCGTCGTCCTGTCGCGCGAGCTGCGTCGAACCACTACGGAACCATCGGAATGCCGCATAGGAAGCTCGAGATGCGCCGAATCAGAGCGAGTGTCGCGACTTACATGCTTTGGGCGCGTACTTTTGGCGGACCTTTTTGCGCTTGGGCGACGACGACCTCCTCTCGACGTCCATGTGCTCCATGGGCGAAGGATGGCTGTTCATGGCGCGATGGAGTTGTTGGAAGAAGGATGGCGCTCCCTCAAGCTACTTCGGAACGCGACCGGGATCCGGTCACTAGCGCGTCTTCACCACCTGGGCAGCCTTCAGCCGACCACCCATCAGCAGCACTCATGTGCCTCGATTCATCACAACCGTTGTCCAAGATATTGTGCCTGAGAAGCAGCAATCTAGGGGGTCACATGATGCAGCATTGTGCGATTGGAAACTTTGCAGGAGCTCATTTCGGAGCGAAGTGCATGGCAGGGTCATCAAGGCTTCTGACATGTGATCCACACATCGTCTTGCGGCATGCACCCATTCCGCTTCCTTCCTCTTCATGCCCACGGTGCCAATCGACATCCCGTCTATGAAGAGCTACCCATAAGCATTTCTCGAATTCACCATCGATCAGAACTCTTATCACACCAAGTTGCAGCTTGAATTGTTGAAGCCTCCAAGGTCTTCGACACATAGCATCACCTAGGCAAACAACAACTCCACGCCTATCAGACCCAGGCCTGCAACAGCTACGGCAATGAAGCATTAGGTTACCGAAGAACCACAAGTCAACAACCGTCGTTCGGCACCGAGGATTTATCTGAACTTATGTATCATTGACTGTCATTACTGTGTATGGAAGCGGCGGCGAACTGTGACACCCTCACAGTCGTCTATCTCGCTCGTAGCCGTAGTTGACGTATGAGTTATCAACCTCTGGTCCGCGGTGGGTATTAAAAGACAGAAACAATGTGATCGGAAAAGAGAACTATCAAAAAGACAAGAAAGGCAAAACTCGCTCGCGCGCTGGAAATGCATGACTAGATACCTCCGGTATGCAGCGCTGAGAAAGCAGACATGATCGTCGTGGCTTCGTAGGCCGGAGTGTCGTGAACTCATGATTTCGTGAGGAAGAGCACCTTTAGCCCTTCCCGCCATCGTTCCGGGTGTCTCATGATAGCGAAAGACATCAGAGTCAAGCTCAGGAATGGCGTCCAGCGAAGAGACTATTTTCTCCATCTCTCGCCCCCACCATCCAAACCTGATGAGATCCTTGTGCTCCTTGACGGTTGAGCGGGTGGTCTCCATCTTACGGTCTTGAGCCTCAATGGCCTCTCTTCCAATCCCCATTCACCCATGCACCGCCCAAATCTTCAACGCCAGCCCACAAAGCTTCCTCAACGCCTTCGTCTCCTTAACCTCCTTATACCTCTTCGCCAACCCATCGATCCTCTTCACACACTCCTCAATCTGCGCGCGATAATACGACGCATCCATCGTACCCAGCACCTTATCCTCACCACCCGCAGCATTCACAAGGCCCTTGATGCACTCGGTCACAGCGCGGCGGTGACTGTTCTTGGGCTCGGCGTGCCGGAACATGTCATCCATCTCGGCTTGGAGGACCATGTTGTCGGTGCTGATGTACTGGAGGACGGAGGTGCGGGCGGCGCTGTCGCCGGGCTCGATGGTTATGGATGGGATTTGGGGGGCGGCGGCTTTGGAGGCGGCGTTCGAGGCGGTTGCGGCGTAGAGTTTTGAGATGCCGCTTCCGGGTGGTGCGGAGGT